TAATACAATAGAAGCATTTTTTACAAAAGGAGAACATTTGGATAAAAGGTTATTCTAAGTTAATTTTTTGCCAAAATATTGTATTTAAATAATTTTTTTGTCATAATGTTCTTAAAACAATTTTATACATGTATTCTAATCTAAGTGACACTAAATATCATGAAAATTATATATTTATGCGCTTTTTTAAAATCATGGTTCCAAACGTAGTCGGATACCTTAAGTGCTTTAGTTTACAAGGCATTGTGTAGATAATTTTTTTTTCAGTTTCTTCTAAAGTTTCAATACAAGTATTAAATCATGCTAAACTTATGTTTTCACTGTGGCGCCATTTGCAGACTGTAGAGCAGGAGAGTCAAACTATCGGCCCATAACGAACATTATTGCGGTCTGGTCAATATATTGACACACAATAAATACATAACACATAATAATAAAATACATACACAATACATAATAAAATATCACAATTTCTCCCGAAATAGGAAAGATAGTAGCAGAGAAGAGATGTCAAATGTCAGGACGTACGTATTAATTTTTTTTCCTTTATACATGTTTATTATAGCATATTAAAACTAAAATAAACTCAAAGTGGCGCAATAACCCATGAGGATCAAGTCTACTGTGCCCATCTCAGTTTTCATGACCTTGGGCGCTAAGGTGCATGAGCAGATGTTCTGGTCAGGTAATCAATCCGACTCAAAAACCACAATGTTTAGTTCCCAAGCAGCCGGGTGGGTGGAGTGTTTGGTTGTCTCTGGCCTTCTGCACCCAAGGTTGTGGGTTCGACCCTGGCCCAAGTCAGTGGATTTTCATGATGCAGGAAATTGACAGTGGCCATGTTGTATGATTATACGGCATGGAAAAGATTCCTAGAGTGTCTGTTTGACTTGGTGCTCTCGCAAAATTAAATCCAAAAACAGGTTCGCATCGTTAGAGCTCAGGTACCTCCCTCTAGGGAGGAAACTGGGCGTCAAAATTATCTGCAGTGATTGATATCCTCTTATATGATGCCGCACTAAAAATAGATACCAGCTTCCGGGGAATGTACTAGTTCTGCAATGTAAAATTCCAATCCGCAGCCCATTAGAAATAAAAAAAATAGTTCTCAAGCAAACTTGATTTTCATTTATTGACCCACTGAAGGGATGAGATGCTGAATAGAACCTCGCCCAGCCCGGGACACGAACCTTAAACCTGTGATATGGAAACGCGATACGCTACCAATGAGCCACTGGGCTTCCATTATAATGCATTATTCGAAATAAGTCTACGTCCCAACCTTTTTTGAACTGGCGCCCCCTTTTCTAGTGAATATTTCGATACCACCTCCCTCCCACTCTAGAGAAATAAGAGCGTACATAATACATAGTGAAAACAAGAATTAAATTTTTTAAAAAAATATTCTAAAACTAACAGAATATATTTTTTTAAAGCCTCCATTTTTTTTTTTACTTGCAAATCTGAAGTAGCTATTGCCCCGAATATATAATTTTATAATACATACAATCAACATAAGGTAACCAGTATTAAAGTTTACTTTTGTTAGTACATAATCAGCATGTTTTTAAGTCTTTTTTTAGACTATATTTGGTTAATCTACCCATGCCCCTCCATACCATCTCAAACCCCCTTAACTTACTCTGAGTCTTTTACTGTCCCCCTGAAAGCCTCAAACGCCTACGTTGAGAACCTATGCTTTAAACTTATAAATTAACTTCCCATCAGTTAGACTTATGGATTTACTGATACTTTAAAGAACACAAAACAATCTGTATGAAATGTAATGAATGAATTATTTCATGTCTAAACTCTTCACTGTTTTGTCAAATTCAATGAAAAAAATAAAATTATACTACTGGCAAACCTCAACGCTTAAAGCTAAAATAGAAGAAAATTATTTTTGCTGTACGAATCCTCTATTAACAAATATATATGCCTCGATCAGATCGTTTCGAATTTGCATAATCCATTAAATATTTTTTCATTCGGTTTGCAAATATTCCACGTAAAATGTGCTTGGGATTACTGATTTACTTAATATGTGTTTAATAACCCCGCTGGTCAAATACAGATAAAAATACGTGTACGAAATGGATTATTCGATAGATTACTAGATGTCTTCTTTTCCTAGTCTATACTTTTCAGGCTTTTTTTTAACTGGCTTTCAATGAACTCATCTCTTAACTGCTTAAAAATATCGTAAAAGAATATCTTCATTGCTGGAAATTTTTTCAGGTTTGGAAAAACAATTTTTAATTATTTCGAATCCAGGAGAAAAACTTTACCTACGATCTCTTACGTCATGAATTTTTTAATTTGATACCTATTGACTAAAATAACCATAATTAAAATGTTGGTAAAATATTTCTTACGAAAGAAAATGGTTTATCTATGACTCGATCATCTTCTAAGAAATCGTCTGAAGTAAATTTAAAATCTAATAGTTCTCTAAAATGGGTCTCGTTATTAGAATTATAATATTTTTTTGTTTTTATTTTTGTTTTATATTAAGCATTTTTAACTTAAATAGTAAAGTACTCTTATGTCTATTTTGAAATGTTTTGCATCCGATAATAAATATTTATTTTATTAATTAACCTTGATTTAATAA